TCGTGCGTGCGTGCGTGCGTGCGTGCGTGCGTGCGTGCGTGCGTGTATTGCATATTATTCACATAATTGATTCAATAAACAATAAATATTTGATTTTTCTTCGTAGACTTTTCACTGAAGAGGAAGTTGAAAGATTGGAACAATTAACATTTTACGATGTGCTAATGTGCACCACTAAAATGGATTGGAACGATATTTCGAGGAATCCTTTTAGAGTTCCTAACTCAGGTAAAAAAAAAAGATATATGTAGATATATTACATATATTCACTTGATGGCAATTAAAAGTACTAAAAATATGTATATCTATTATTATGCTTACAGCAAATGATATACATCCCAATTGTATTAATAATAAAATTGTGAAGGAAGGCAAATGTACAAATGGTCTTTGTTTTCACGCAGATCAAATAAACGAATACACAATTGAAAATTGCACAGAACCTGAAACTTATGACTATTTCTCGAATAGCAGCATGTCCTTCATCTTTACGTTTTTAGGCATATCAACATTATTCTGTGGTAAAAATCTTATTGTTATTTATCAAGATGTCTCGTTACGATATATTACATCACATTTAATGTTAATTTTGACGTAGGTTTTATTACATTAATCGTTTTTAAGATACAATTCAAAGATAAGAAATTAGCGAAAGAAAATGTTAGGAAAGTAGATTACAGTGATGACATAGACATTATACATACTGGTGAGTGTCCAATACGTCTAATAATTAATGTCGTAATAATGTACGCGCTCGCTCGCGCACACACGCACGCACACTAACGAAAATGTTACTTCATGAACAGCTAGCGAATGGCAAGATCCAAAAGCTTCACTGAGACGCGTATTATTAGTGCCAAATATAAGAAAGAAACAACTGGAAGTGAAAAATCAATTGGGACATTTGATACGTGCAGTGGATTTTCCATCCAATAGCAACATCACGGTATATTTTTTTCTTTTTTTGTTTTTTCTCTTCAATAATCATCAACCACTTTCTCTTCACTTTCTTTTTTCTTCTTATAGATTTATTGCACAACTGACAGTCATTATATGTTGATTCGTGTACACCACAATTACGATTTAGTGCTCAAGTTTGATTCTGATTTTTTGAGAAGTGCATTTATAAAAGCATTCGAAAAATTTATATCAGAAATTGCGACGTCTGAGGATGCACGCTTAGTGCAAATGATGACTAATACCACGCATGCAGTGTTACTCAAGCAAGCGATAACTAAGAAACACCGTCAAAAAAAATTAGAAATGTTTTTCCGTGTTGTATTTGCCCAGGTACCCAAATTTATATTCCTCTTTTCTCTTTTTTCACGCAAGATATTTAAATAATATTAAATTTTATTCAACTATCGAGACTTGTTTACAACGATACAACGATACATATCCACCATTTCTATCCACATTTTTAGGCGTTCCATATCGCGCATACAGAAGAAGAAATCTTACAAATAGATTCGACAGTGGCACGAGAAGTAATTTACACCGAGTTGACAATCATAGAATTTGCGGAAGCCCTGAGTATGAGACCGGACGCCGAGTTCGTAAAAAAGGTGACACTTGTGTTAACACATTAGTTAATGTAATAAGCTAATGTTAACGAATATTTGGTACTACAGATGTGTCATTTCGATGAAATGTCAATACCGAAAGAAATTAAATTTGCAGATATTTTATCTAGTCGATAAGGATAAGAATGGCTTCATATCGTTTCGAGAGTTTGTTGATATGTTGGTCATATTTTTGAAAGGCTCTGCTGAAGAGAAGATGAAGTTGATGTTTGATATGTATGATATCAATGGAACCGGAAGATTGAAGAGAGAGGAGTTCTCAAATATGTTAAGGTATATTTGCAATAAATCGTCCAACTCTCTCCTGCGTTCATCCCTTATATGTATGTTAGTTAGTATTAACATAAAGTTTTAACATAAAAACTATAATTAGATCCTTTATGGAGACTGTCAACGCTGATGTCAGGGATGATGAGCTGGAAGCTTTGGTGCAGTCTATGATGTATCACGCTGACTTGGCGAATAAAGAAACCATAAATCTACAAGACTTTCAACAAATACTAAGTGATTTTAATAATAAATTTAATTACGCAGAGTTGGAATTCAACGTATCTACAGACGGAAAAAACAGGAAACTTCACGCGGGTGTGAAAACAGTTAGATCAACGTTTATTGGCGAGGTACAAAAGACGGTGGAGAGTCTGTATGCTGATCCAAGCGAATTGCAATCCAGAGTTGAAGGCAAAGCTGAAAGCAAAATTGAACAAGAGCAGAACACAAAGGAAGAAAAAAGTAATAATGAAATTATCGACGAAAAAATTGTCGAAGAAATAAAAAAACGCTCGGACGATTATTGGTACCCTCTAATGAAATATGTTGCTAACAAACGATTGCAGATATTTTGGGCATGTTTATACACTTTGTTACTGCTTGGAATTTTCGCAGAGCGAGTATATTGTACGTCGCTTTAACATATGTATATTTTTACTCTTTTGAAACTTGAATTCTTTGCATTGATTGTAAATCAATTGCGATGCTCTTATTACAGATTACTCTGTACAACGGGAACATTCTGGTTTGAGACGAATATTAGGCTATGGCTTGACTATAACAAGAGGTGCAGCGTCAGCTATGATGTTTACTTATTCTACGTTATTACTTACGATGTGTCACAATACTATTACTATTCTAAGAAGTACAATTTTGCAATTCTACGTTCCGTTCGATTCAGCAATCGAAATGCATAAATATATCGCTTATTGGGCATTGGCGTTTAGTGGTGAGATATTCTTATAACTTTTAACTTACTTGAATTCTCTCTCTCTCTCTCTCTCTCTCTCTCTCTCTCTCTCTCTCTCTCTCTCTGCGTGCGTGCGTGCGGTGTGGTGTGTGTGTGTGTTTTTGATACCTTTCTGTACTTTAATTAATTTCCTACGTAATTTTCCTCTCTTGATACTTTTAGTGTTACACATAATTGGACATGGCTTCAACTTTTATCATATATCTACACAAACTGCCGATGATCTGACGTGTTTATTTCGCAATTATTTCCATGCGTAAGCTTGTTTACTTCCTATTTTAATCACGATTTTGCACAATTCATTTCTATTTGTTTGCGCTTTTATGCGCAACCAAATATATATATATATATATATATGTCGTTATCAGTCGTTATGCATGACTATTGATATCTAGGACGCACCAACTTCCTAAATTCCACTATTGGTGTTGGGGTACAATGACAGGTATAACGGGAGTATTTTTAACGATTTTGACTGGATTAATATTTATGTGCTCGTTATCGATAGTACGCAAATCATTTTACAACTGGTTCTCTTTCGTACATTCCTTGTATCCGGTTTTCTATATACTAATGATTTTACATGGTAGTGGAAGATTAGTACAAGTAAGTAATTGAGTAAGTAAGTCTTTATATAAAATTCAATTTTATTTTTAACACTTGTAATTGCCTTTGCATCATGTGTGACTGCAAATCCATTTCATCTACTCTATTCTATTATCCTACATACAGGAGCCATACTTCCATTATTTCTTTCTGGGACCAGCCATTCTATTTATTCTCGATAAAGTCGTAACTGTAACTAGAACAACAATAGAAATACCAATACTTAAAGCAGAAATTCTGCCATCAGGTATTCTTGCTTAAATAATATTACTATTGCAATTTCTGTTATCTAACTGTAGTGTTGCGCCCTCATCTTATTTCTCACGTATATCACGCACAAATGTAAGTATGTACTCATGTCGTAGGTGTAACATGTATAACATTTCTCAAACCATTAAATTTTCAATATAAATCTGGTCAATGGATTAGAATAGCGTGTCCAGCGTTACAGACAAACGAGTACCATCCGTTTACTTTATCTTCTGCACCACACGAAACAAACTTAAGTATACATGTACGAGCGGTTGGACCATGGACCACAAATATCAGAGAGAAGCTAGAGATGTGCACAATGTCAAATAAAAACTTACCAATGGTAAGTCTTCATCATCATCATCATCATCATCATTATTATTATTATTACTACTACTACTATTTTTATCATTCTTGTATATTTTAGAATAAAATAGAAATTTGAATAAAGGCCAATAAACGAGCAAACAAAGATGTTGTAATATAATTATATAATTTTATTCGATAAAATTAAAGCGGAGCGCGTTCAATTTTACACTACTAATTGTGAGTCGCTTCTTCAGCTGCAAATATAAATTTTCAAATTATAATTAATTACATTAATCAGAAAACACACGCAACGTTTTTCCTTTCCGGTCATGGTATCCAAGATTTAAAATCAAGATCGTTGTCTGAAGCCACTCTGTTCACTTCTTCTGTCGACAATCTGTGGTAATTAGATTTGATTATTAATAGTCGACAATCATGAAGTTCTCTTCGTCCTCAACGTCTTTTTCCAAGCAACTCCTGCAGACACCGCGCGGAAAGGAAACTTTGCGTGTTCTCCGACTAGGATTCATGTAATTAATTATAATTTGAAAATTTGTATTTGCGACTGAAGAAGACTTACAATTAGTAAAGTCGACGTACGTTCCGCTTTAATTTTATCGAGTAAAATTATATAATTATATTACATCTTTGTTTGCTCATTTATTGATCTTTATTTCTCCTAATTTCTATTTTATTATTATTATTATTATTATTATATTACAGAATATATTATTGTTCATTACTACACAACTGCAGTATGTTTACACAGATAATCATTTATGTAATAAAATTTTTATATATTATATTATTTATTAATCCTGATAGATTCATATAGATGGCCCATATGGAGAAGGTCATCAAGATTGGGATAAATATCAAGTAGCAATCATGGTCGGTGGAGGTATAGGAGTCACACCCTTTGCATCAATACTCAAAGATATTGTTTTCAAGTCAAATTGCCATTTAAACTTTGGTTGCAAGAAGGTAATAAGTAATAACATTGCTACATCAATATTGTGGTCCAAAAAAGGAGAACATAAAATTGATTCTATGTGTAGGTATATTTTCTTTGGGTAACAAGAACACAAAAACAATTTGAATGGATGATTGATATATTAAGAGAGCTTGAAAAAATAGATGTTAATAACACAGTATCCATTCATATTTTTATTACTCAATTTTATCAAAAATTTGACCTACGTACGATACTTTTGGTAAGATATCAAAATTAATAAGTGCAACTGTTATTAACTGACAGGATTAGGTATTTCATCGTAAATAATGTTAATTAATTATACTTCCAGTACATTTGTGAACGTCATTTTCAAAAGATTTCAAATAAATCTTTGTTTACTGGCTTAAAGGCTGTAACACATTTTGGACGACCAAAGTTTTCTCAATTTTTCCTATCTATAGAAAAATTACATCCTACTGTAAGTGCCTTATTATTATTATCTCTCTAGAGTCATATACTATAGCGTACTTTTGAATTATATACATAATATATAATGTATATATGAAACAATTCTTGTTTCAGACAAATAAGATAGGTGTTTTCAGTTGTGGTACACCAGCTATGACACAAGCAGTAGACGCAGCTTGCAAAACTATTAATCTAACAGAAATTAATGATACGTTATTTCAACACCATTATAAAAGTTTCTGACTTTTATGAATAGTTGGTATCAAATTCTATATTTGAGTACCTATACCCAAAGACTTTCGGATATTTTTCATATTAATTATAATTTGAATAAATCTTAATTTTTGTAGCTTATGGTTGTTTCTAATAAATTACATATTTATAAAATAAGCATTATAACATGAGATAAATTTCATGTTGTATTATTTCATGTTCGCATTAATGTTAAGATTTTACAATATACAAGTATTTTCTTCATCAATCAATTGTATATGTGTCATGCATATAATTATTACAATAAAATTGTGTGATAATTTAATAATATATCTTAATTGTTTCAAGTTATTAATGTTATTTCATCTAAATATATTTTCACATGAATAAGTATGTTATACTTACATATGTGTATGCTTAGTAGCCTTTTTTTCATAAGAATCTCAAATATTGTTTATTTTGTAGTTATGGTTGAAGATTTCCGCCATTCTATCTGACTAAATAAAAAAATGCATTAATGATACGATTTGGAATTGGATAATACATTGTTACATAAAAACAAATACGTGGCATGTCGTTATGAAATGTATACCTTCATTATCAAGCATGATTATTCTGCTCAAAAGTTGGATCTACTAAGTCCACACTCCACTGTGATAAAGAATTGAAGTCATCGAGAGAATTGTTATGTTATTCAGTTATTATATATTTATATGTATCTTCTTCTTCTTATTACTAAAAGCTTCCGCTCCGGGCTGACCGGGCTCCCAACTCATGATTTTATATACAAATTGCTGTGCTGCTACACTGTGCTACACACCAATCTATTCTGAATTCTGAGCCCTGAGGCGGTGGAGTCAAGTGCACCAACTTAAGTGAGATAAAAGCGCTGTTTATTCGAAGGAAAAATCATAGGCCTAGTTTACACTAGAGTCCTAGATTATCAAGCGCGACCGGTGTTACGAGTCCTGATTGGACACGCAAATGGCCAATCATAAGATTGATTTATCGCTATTATAAATGGCTGCCGAATAAATCAAACTTATGATTGGCCATTTGCGTGTCCAATCAGGACTCGTAACACCGGTCGCGCTTCTCTGATAATCTAGGACTCTACTCTACATAAGTCTACATTTTGTTAGTCTCTTTAGTTATCGAATTTTGTCACGATAAAACGTGTTAGTTTATCAAAATGCAGGTACCGCCAATTTTCATGGAATTGCCGTTAGATGACCAGGTAAATTTGCAAAATTAAATAATAATCGTGGTCTGCAATTTCCTTAGAATGTATTTTTTGGTATATCCACATTGCATGTACAAGGGACAGCTTCAAAACGTATCATCTGTAATATTTTTAGGTTAGATCAAAATGAATATTAACCCTACAGTGACACACATGAATCCCGCACATCTATAGCCGTTTTTAATGATTCTTATTCTTGTGCTTAATGCAGAAAGTAATTTTTATAATTTTCCCAATATCTACATAGCAGAATAATTTAGTAAAGACCTTAAAAAACAAATTTTAACAGATTTTTTCGAGCCTTTAGGAACCTCAAAATCCATGTGTACTAGTCTCAGGTACTGAAAATATGTGTGCCACTGCAGCGTTAACAAATGACAATCTAACAAGTTCCTTGTAATTAAGCAAACAGTAATTATAAAAACATTAGTAAAAGTATTACATACTTATGTTTTCATAAGATTAGTTATTATTTCTATTATTAGGCGCAAGAACTCAGAGTATATTTTAAGAGTCTTGGTGCAGAAATTAGCGAAGAAAAATCTCCTAAAGGTATAGAAGATGATTTGCACAAGATTATTGGAGTGTGCGAGGCATGTTTCAAAGAAGGAAATGAAAATGAGATAGAAACTGTATTGAATGATATTGTTTCTATCATGATTCTGGTAAATTTAATATATATTTCGACTTATTTATTTATATAA